AAAATCTGGCTCCAGTTGTGTGATTAATGAAGGTGAGATCAACCAGCAATCCTTATGATGCCAAATTTTACTGAAATCGGTGGATTTCAGAAAAGTACACCCGCCATATTTGATCAGCCATCTTGAATTTTTACAATGTGAATTCATATTCGTAATCAGCGACCCAAAAAACCCCTTTATACAAAATCTGGTCAAAATCCGCTCAGAATTTGAAAATAGCGATTCCCACTCGGTATTTGAGGTTAGAAAAAAAACCACACGTTCTAGCTCAATTCTGACAGTGGATTTGAATTCAGCAGAGTATTTTACATAAAACTGTACTATTTGATGTGAAAATAAATTTGTTTCCAAATTTTCCCAGTTTTGTCATCAATTTTCACTATTTTTCACAAGTTTTTTGAGGTTAGGAAAAAATTGTGACGTGATGGGCCAATTCTGACCCCAGATTCGTGTTCAGGGGGCCAAATTACTACGAAAAATATATGTCGCATAAAAAGTATACCCAACTTTTTTTTTCTGTGTGGCTGTGTTATGAATGATACATTATTTGTTACTGTCTGAAGGTATTTATCTCGGCATCGTTTTCGGCTTTTCTTTATTTTTGGATATTTTGCCACTTATGAAAAAATTTTATAATGTAATGAAATAAACGCTAACGTTGAAAGGATTAGTCAAGTATTAGTTTTATGAAAACAGTTTTGTCTAACCAAAAATCTCGCACCGAAAAAGGCACACAAATACAAAATACATAAACCAACTGTTTTCGTCTTCTGAACTTATATTAACTTTTCGCCAAAACTAACCAAAATGAACTTTTCTCTATCTTTGAAAATTCGTAAAACAGACAGATATGTAAACATTAAACCACCCTATACACTCATATAGTTAATAAAAGTCACACCATAATTGGAAATTCAACAAAAATATATTGTCCGACAATTAAAATTATTGGTTCAATAAGGATGAGATTATCTTATCAATGTTGTAAATGCAACACTAATGCAAGTAGATTATTATAATAAAAATATATGAAATTAAAAATTTCGATAACAGTTAGTTTGTGTAAAATTTTAAGACTTATTTACGAAATGGATGATCCTGTTGTAACTGTACGAGAAGGAAAAGTCCGGGGAAAAATCTCCACTGACTTTGATGGCAATCATTTCTACAGTTTCCAAGGAATACCTTACGCCAAACCTCCACTTGGAGATCTTCGTTTTAAGGTAAGTTACCTACATTACTTACTTATTATGTAGTCCATTAAACATCCATATTCTGAGTCTTGGTCTTCACTAAACTCTATGTCCTACGTAGGCTACGAAAAGCAGACAATACTACTTAAGCGGTTGATCCAACCAGAGCTGACCAGATTAAAGCCTGGCTAGCGTCGGTGTCGGTGCGGGAATATATTAGATTAATAAAGGGGTTTAAATTTCCTTTTTTTCTTATTAATTAATTCTAATTTTCTAATTCTAATTTCTATTTTATTTAAACGAAATAATTTCATAAATTTTTCATTGGGTAGTTCACAGAGTCAAAATACTTACCATATTTTTACAAAAAAGATACCAAACAGTATTTTAAATATAAAATAGTATTTTGTATTTTAACCCTTTGTGGGCTAGCGGTGCCTTATTGGGACCACAGTTCAAACTCTGTCGTAGAAGCGGCCTAGTAAGTGTTAGGTGGAACCACATGACATATTCTTCTTTAGGCGTCATTTCCCCCTGCTTAATTCAAATTCCGCGCGCTGTGTTTATTCGTTTCTCAGTTGTTTGTAAGTCTCGCACGACGGTTTTTGCACGTGTTTAGAGATAGTCTCTTCTTAGGGAAAAACACCATGTCACGTAAGTTTATGATCTTATTCTTTTAAATATGCATTCTAGTACAGTTTTGTGTCAAAATGTTGATGGTTTTTTATTGCTAAAACTTTGATTTTTTAGTAAATATACTGTGTTTCCATTTGGGCCTACTAGGCTACACATACTAATTAATTTTCTTATGAGTTCTGATGAGGCATTTGTTATGTTGGATGAGATACCTTCCGATACGGGCTTCATTACCTCTGAGGCACTATCGGAAGATGAAATTGATGCAGATGAGTGTATTATGAACTCAACTGAAGATTTGTCAGAAAATAGACCTGATTTGCCAGTACCAACAAGCAAAGAAGTTTTGGACTACGACAGTGAGGATGATCTTCTTTTGGCGACATTCATACATCAGTGGACTAGTAATTCGACACACGCTAACACCCCGCATCCTTTTGAAAAAACCAGTGGACCAAATATGCCCGAACATGCAGATTCACCAACTGATATTTTTCTGTTTGTTTACAAAGGAGCTCATAGAAAAAATTGTATTTGAAACAAATTTATATGTAACACAAATAACTAATAATAACCGTTTTATTCCCACGACATATGACGGAAATTTGACTTTGTTTAACTGATAAATCGAACTGTTTTTACGCATTCCATAAAAAATGATGTATGTACTTATGTTCCTTGTGGTTCCATAGTGGAACCACATCTTTGTGTTTTTTCTATATAATAAAAACTATTTTTTGTATAATATATAAGTTTTGTATACCCTTTTCAATAGTTGAATAATTAAAGATCTTAAAAAAAATATACTTTTAAAAAACAGGAGATAATTCAGGCCACAAAGGGTTAAATACTTTAATAAAGTATTTTGTATTTTAAATTCTACATAATTAAAATACTATTTTAAATACTGAGTAATTTATATTTAAAATACTTTCGAACCTTTACGAACCTTGTTACCAGATACCCAGATCTCTTTAAAATAACAATAAGCAATATTGCTATGTCTATAGAATCGACATGATTGTCCCCGAACATTTTATTTGTAGAATATTCGAGAACGTTTATTATTGTGCTGTCGTTTTGACAGTATTATTAGGACGTTGTCGTTTTGACTTTTTTTTGCCCGCATTCCATGGAACATAGAGAGCGGCTTTTATTCCGCTCAAATGAAAAGTCTAGATAGGTGTATTGTACTTAAATTTTTGTTGTTATTAATTGCTTTACTAATTACGAAATTTAAATATCCACTAAAACTACTTTTATCAAAGACCACAATTTTTGAAATAAAATTACTTATTATTTATAGCATGTGATACTGATTTATATGATTTCTCTATTTATGCAGAGTTTAAGGATATAGAGTAGGATCGTAATCGATGCAAAGTAGAGCAAAAAATTGTCGGCCTTTTATCAAAAGAAAATCGTGTCATCATTTTTAGGACGCGTAAGATGAACCATTTCAAATTTAAAATGAAATTGAATGTAAAACCTGAAATACCGCATCATACGAATTGTGTTCTGGTAGTAGCTGTAGCTGTAGTAGCATCGAGTGTACTGTAACCTGAGGGGTTATTTCTTTATTTATATATCTATCGTTATGACCAGTATCATAACGAGTCTGGATTTCAAAAGAGTTTACTATTTAATTCTCGAAATGGAGTTTATAATTATCATTATACTTTAATTAATACGTGGGAACTTAGAAATGTTGTATGTTCAGAGAATGAATTTCAAGCACTTACCTTTCATTGCTTACGTAGAATGTAATCCAGTGACTGGCTGTACAGGGTGAAAAGAAACACCAAAACTTTCCAGGAAGGGTTTTAATAGCAATAAAACAAAACAAGCAAACAGAATAACGACACAACAGGCTCGAAAAACATTATTAATTACTTTATTGACACGCAACAGCGTACCGAGATTCCGGGAATGCGCGATCCATAGCAACATTTGTAATGACTTTATCCATTATTAAATTAACCCGAGACTCTAAAACTAAGTAGACTGCTCAATGTGAAACCCAGGGAAGAACTGACTTTTTTTCGTAGATCTCTCCTAAATTCTACACTTCGCTCAGACACGCCCATTTCTTGGGTACAGACGTTTCTGTTCTTATCTTACTGGCGGGAACCCTGGATATCGGGACGCTTTGGCATAACGATGCCATGTTAATAGTTATCTAATTGACTGATTTTACATTTACCTAAATAATTTTGAGACTAAACTTACAAATAACCTTAGCCTTCCTCTAGTGACTCCGTGTAGCAATACGGGACGGATTAGTCAACCTTATTTGCTCTATCCTTATAGCTTGGAAAATCCGCCTAAAAACAGCTACTATTATTTTCCTGACAACATTCTAACAACTTATTCTTGGAATTCCTACGTTCTTTGGAATGCATTTTGCGCATTATTTGAAATATCGATTTTTCTCTTTATACTAGATGCTCAACACATGGCCCCGACAGTTTAAGTGAACTTGTTAAAAAATATTGGTAAATTTCTCCAAAGGACGACGCTACCTACTTTCGATAATTAGTGTTGACTGAAGTATTTTACTTTTTGTCACATCCGTTCCGAGAACTAACCAATAAATTACCACGCGTCCCGGCTTTAGTTACAGTGGTGAGTTATACGCCAAATACTAACCTGACGAGCTTGGTCGTAAATCAGAGACCGCCTCCAAAAAAACAAGTAAACAGCAGTGGCGCGTACAGAGGTAAAATTTAAAAAACAAATTGGATTTATAATAAATTACATTTAAAATAAATAGTTTATTAGAATAAAGAAATTTTTGTAGGAACAAGGCTGCCAGTCGTGAACTGATCCCTTCATCCCTTCATAATGAATAAAGAAATTATTCAATTTCTAAACCCGTTAAAACCGTACTGCACTGGATCCTTGATAGTCAATGATTACTTTGCACCGAATATGACCTACTTATAGTTAGGTCATACCATACAACACAAGGAAAGGAAAGTGATAAAAAGAGAAGGAGGGGTACACTTCATCTACTTAGTTNCATCCAATTTGATTTTCTTGCCTTTTCAAACCAGCCATCAGGGTCCATAAGTATATAAGTTTTATTATTATCCAAGTTAAACACAACCCGCTTTTGACCACTCATTGTATCAGAAGAAATGCTGAAAAATCACCAACAACCCTACTAATAATATATCTGTACATAAATAATACTTCTAGTTGGCACGAATGGTTATTAACCTCTACCGCGCAGACGTCAGCCGATGTGACGTAGCCGGCTGAAAGCTATGCCGATCCTGCTCCAGTCGCCATCTTGAATTGTGGAGCAGAATCGGCACAGCTATTCTACTCGCATTATTTGAAATATCGATTTTTCTCTTTATACTAGATGCTCAACACATGGCCCCGACAGTTTAAGTGAACTTGTTAAAAAATATTGCTAAATTTCTCCAAAGGACGACGCTACCTACTTTCGATAATTAGTGTTGACTGAAGTATTTTACTTTTTGTCACATCCGTTCCGAGAACTAACCAATAAATTACCACGCGTCCCGGCTTTAGTTACAGTGGTGAGTTATACGCCAAATACTAACCTGGCGAGCTTGGTCGTAAATCAGAGACCGCCTCCAAAAACACAAGTAAACAGCAGTGGCGCGTACAGAGGTAAAATTTAAAAAACAAATTGGATTTATAATAAATTACATTTAAAATAAATAGTTTATGAGAATAAAGAAATTTTTGTAGGAACAAGACTGCCAGACGTGAACTGATCCCTTCATCCCTTCATAATGATTAAAGAAATTATTCAATTTCTAAACCCGTTAAAACCGTACTTTACTGGATCCTTGATGGTCAATGATTACTTTGCATCGAATATGACCTACTTATAGTTAGGTCATACCATACAACACAAGGAAAGGAAAGTGATAAAAAGAGAAGGAGGGGTACACTTCATCTACTTAGTTGTGACTAATGCAGATAAGAAGAAGAGTTTACTAGAAAAATGAGCTTTTGATGTAAAGTAATAATAGTGAGTTTGTTACCAATACATTACATGAATCTAATAGGCAATGCGAAAAGTGTATTGTTTTATTGTTCTATATTGTTCTATAATGAAAGTTAATTCGAATTGTACAAGCAATTTTGGTTATAATATATTTTATTTAATTTAAATAAGAAAACACCTAGTTGATTAGTAGTACGTTATTATCATCGATTTCTGTTGTAACAGGCTGACACATTATTACAGAAAACGTCTTTTGAGTAAGTTCTCTTTGTCTCTCTATCATTAATAAAAGGAGAACAGTTGTATAATAAAAATAATATCTCTACTCCTCATTCTAACTACGAGAATTAGCCCAGAAGTCGGAGACTTGTGCGGGAGAGGAGGCGGCATATTATTATTACGCAGGCCGCATTTGCGCCCAGGAACGACTTATGTTGGTAGGCCCTAACCACCATTCAGTGCAGGAATGAGGAAAACCTGGAAAACCTCATTAATTAGGGGGAATTAATTAATAATTCCACCCTACCATACCTCCATAGAGGGTGTCAATCCTCCGTACAAGTATAGCTAATCTACGGTCTACCAGCCGCGGGATTCGAAACCCGATAGCACACGTCGATTTAAGTATACTGACGCCTTAAACCGTGCGGCTATCGACCGATTAGTTGTATGAATTGCCTTATTAATAGATGGTATAATTACGCAAATGTTCACCAAATTCGATTTAATTTTTGTATTTTTGTGACATTATCACTTCGTTCGTCGACGGCAAAGTGCGGCCATCACTATGACGCCTGAGCGGCTACGCGGCGGTTACCTCGGGCTCCAATTTCTGTTTACATGTACGAACACCACTACTCATTCAGCTACAGTGAAGACGAGGTATATCCAGGGATCTAGAGAGTAGGACTTTACACAAGAATAAAAGTCACAGTTAATAAATATTTACATTTATTAAAGGTCACGTCACACATATGTTCGGGTCCAGCAGTAGAACGCAATTAGCTCTGGAGTGGAATGCCTCCGCTAGCAGTATTTCCAACTCAACCTAATTTACAGGCTTCCACGGTGAGCGGTGGCGGCTGGGCCGTCTTCACAAGCTGGACTTAAAAGAATCTTACCACCTGTCGACCTTCCTGTTTTGCTGCCGGACTGGACTGCTCGCTGCGAAGGTTAGATGTAAACTACTTTCTAATACGGCTCAACTGCCAAGCTTCTACGGCGAACGGTGGCGGCTGCGCAGTCACAAGCTGGTAACAATTCTTGCCACACGGCTGTCTTCCTTGGGCTGGTAACGAACTGGACTGCTCCCTGCGACGAATTAAACCAAATACTCTCAATGATCAGTATTTGATTAAACTGATTTTAGTTTTCAACTGTTAGACGGACTATCTATGCCAACGATTTCGTTCGCGCCGTGTCGGGTTAATTCAGATGGTGTTAAAAGTTGAAAGATGTAAAAGATTTATTTAAATAAAATTGAAAAATAATAACTCAAGGTGTCCCAATACCCTGTCTGAATATCACTTCGTTACATTTTTTTATATGCCGGTTAAATAATGTTTTGTACGAAATTAAAAAATATGGATCCCATACTTCCATACAATTATATTTATGGCATTTTGCTAATAATTAACAGTCATTTTCTATTAGTTTCTTTATTTTAAAATGAACCGAAATTATTGTTCAAAATGCCGACAACAAAAAATAAAGAAAAAGAAAAAAGAAACAATCTATATGTCTTCAAAACTGGTTTAAATTTAGATCAAATGCGAAAACAGTAACTTAAAGAAGAAGTCACAAATATTTTAAATTAGAATAATTTCATAAAATACTTATATGCAATTCTTCTTATTCCGCTTACGTAATTAAGTTTTTTAGTTAGTTTTATTGTTTTAGGCACCAGAACCACCTGAAAAGTGGAACGGAATACTAGACGCAACAGAAAATGGAAATGAATGCTATGCCAAAAGTAATATTTATACTGGCTCCGAAGACTGCCTATTTATAAACGTTTTTACAAAAAAGGTAATTGAAATAAATACTATATATTAAGAAGAACAATGTAGCATAACTAATAATTCTTTCTATTTTTTCCATATTTGAATTTATATTTATTTTTATATAATATTACGTATTTACTAACTTATATCAAACAATCGATATAAAAAATTCCATCCTCAATAATTCAGAAACGGTTTAAAATACAGATACAATAAGTTGAGTTTTGTTGTCCGATAGGCATCTTCGTTACGTATTGAGTATTCACTATTATTATTATAAAACAGTAAAAGACAAGAAAAAGTAGTTTAGATGCCACAGATTAGATTTTCGAGAAACGTTGAGTTGACTTTTTTCGAAACGTCAACAACTTTTTAAAGTGATGTTGTTTTTTGTACTATATTTTGTATTCGTCCGTTTTTTGTGTGTGAGATTTTCTGGTTAGGTTATTTTCATAAAAATAACCCTTGACTGATTTTTTTTTTTTTTTCGCAATTGGCAAAATATCCAAAAAATAAAGAAAAAGACGAAAACTATGCTAAATAAATAACTTCAAACAATATATTCTGAAAGTAACGCGGAAAATTTCAAGACACACTCCTGCCGCAGTAAATTGTTACAGTAGTTCCGATATCAGAACTCTATTGGCTTATTCTTTTCTTGATATTCTACCTCAACAAATATTGTACGGACTGTAGTGCACTACGTCTCGTGCTGAACGTAAGGAATTTTTAATACCTTAAAAAAATTTCGATTAAAAGGATTTAAGGAACGAAACAATAAAATCTTGTTTTATAATTAAAAACGATAAGTAGTTAGGACAATTAGTAGTTTCTTGTACACCTGTATATATACTTTTTAAATTGCTAAAGTTTTGTAGAAGTCAAAATCATGAATAAAGAATTTCAAGTGCAACTAAGTTTCTTATAGATAAACCATAAAAATTTTATAGATTCAAGCAAAGTTCCTAAAACCTGTGATGTTTTTAATTCACGGCGGAGGTTTCATCTCTGGTTCAAGTCATTCAATCATGTTTGGTCCAGAATACCTCATAACTCAAGATGTGGTTTTGGTTACCTTCAACTATAGACTAGGTGTACTAGGTATCACGTTCAATATTATAGTTCTTATTTTGTTAATGAAAAACTTTTCGAAAAATTTCGATCTAATGTATTTGGTTTTCATCAAAATTATAATTTTAGGATTTTTATGTCTGGATGACAGTACCTTAGGAGTTCCAGGAAACGCAGGTCTTAAAGATATGGTAATGGCACTTAATTGGGTCCAATACAATATCAAGAATTTTTCAGGAGATCCAAATAATGTGACAATTTTTGGTCAAAGCTCAGGAGGAGCATCAGTTCATCTCTTGATGTTATCTCCAATGGCCAAAGGTAGGAACTTTACCTAATTATTTAAAGCACTGTACTATGGTATTTTCAGGTTTATTTCATAAGGCTATAGCCCAAAGTGGTTGTGCTCTAAATGTTTGGGCAAGAGGTAAAAAGCATACTGTACACTTACTAGCTGATATATTAGGCATCGATAGTACTAGTGACAAGGTTATTCTTGAACAATTACAAAAAATATCTGTAAAAGAATTGTATAATTCTTCAAACAAGTTAGCAGATGTAAGTATTTAGTATAAAAAAATATTAAACATTCCTACTTCACATAACCGAAAAAAGAAAACTGTTTGTATTGTAAGAAATAGACTTTATAGCCAATCATTTCTATTTTAGTTTTAAGGTACTTATAACACCTAGAAACCAAAGTAGTTTTAGTTACATATATCGGGTGTTAAAAAAAAAAACATGAGCCAATGCTCGAGTGAATCCCTGTTATCAAAAAAACAAGGAAAATTGTTCCTGTTACCATTGTAGTAATTTGAAGGAAACTTATGTTGCCAAGAGTATTTAAAGTAGTGCAAAGTAGCATTAACAAGATGTAGAAAGTTTTCCCAGGAGCGTAAATAAATAACCTTTTTATTTTATAAACCCATATTTTATTATCGAAAAGTAATTAATATCATTGTTTCATTTAGGCGGCTTGAATTAGTATTTTAATTAAATTTCACTATGCGTAGCAAAAAATGTAAAATGTCTGCCATTGAGTGCCCGAACTTCATGCAAAATATTATATTCGTTTCGAAAAAAAAAATTAATACAAATTTCCCCTCGAGCCTTGGCACATGTTTTTTAAAGCACAGCCTATATCAAATACCTTAATTAAAAACATACAAGGCATATCCGCAAAGAGTACTGAGATTCTGATGCTTTCGACATAGATGGCAACACTGCATTCAAGGCCAAGGTGTTGGCAGCAGAACGCGCGTTCATTTGTCTCAGTCAATTGAGAACTGTTGTTGTAGTGGCGTGTTGAAAAAATGAATGCCGCTATTACTAATCCCATCAGCTGCGAGGTGAAGAACGTGTTTCGGTTTCTTCTTGCATAGAGAACGACGGCGTTCCAGATTTTCAACGAAATCAAAACTGTTCATGAGGATGGTGTGATGAATCGTACTAATATATACAAGTGGTGTCATGAGTATAAAGCTGACAGAACGACTGTTCATGATGAACAAAGTAGAAAAATCATGGCAACTATGTTTTGTATTTGTAGTCTTTCTCTAGCCAAAGTAGATATCGCAAATCAAAATTGTTACAGTTTCTGTTGATAGTGGTAATTTATGCTAGTTAAAATAAAAATGTTAGTATTGTATAAGGAATAGTCTTGTAAAATGTGTATCATCTTTCATTTATTCGTAACCAAAAACTCAAAACAATTAATCCATAATACAATTTTGACAAATATCTGCAAATAATAGTTTTCTTTAAGGTACAGTCTGTACGATATTTGTTGAGATAGAATTCCAAGAAGACCCCTGCGTCACTTTCTTGGAATTAACCGCATTCGACATCCGAGGTAGAAAGACATTGGCGACGTGGTGTACATAGTAGTAGCTTGCAGTGCATACTGTGTTTTCTAGTTATGAAGGCGTGTTTCTTTGTACGTGTATCGTCCTGTGCATTTTCAGTGTAGTTTCTTATTAAAATAAATTAGTGGAGGTGAAAAATTAAAGAAAGAAATTTAATTGCCAGTCGAAGAGTATCGTGTTTAATGTGTATAATTACACAGCCCCACAAAAAAAAATTCTGTACATCGGACTAGAACACTATATCCTTTTATATGTTTTCGAGATTCAAAAATGAAAATTCCGGTCTTCCACACCACCTAATGAGGTTCCGAATGAGGCGCATTAGCTTTTTTATAGTGGTTCTTCGCCAATAGCTCTATACTCCACTGATGTTCCACAAACAATTCCATCTCAACTACTTCGATTTCAACGTGATTATTGGCATTTGCTCTGGCATCGCGGACGCGATCTAATAGTACTGTACGCGTGGGTACAGAAAAAGGCGGTCACATTTTTCTTTCATTTTTGAATCTCGTTTTGAACACAGAAAAGGGATATATAGATATATAGTACTTTTTCACTCCAACACACCTCCACGCATGCATGTCTCCATAATCGGTCACTGAACACGCTCTCTTTTGATAAAAATAACCCGACTCCTGAAAACCCAGGTGCCGACCTTGTATGCGCCATAGCGCAAAATCCTGACGGTAGATTTTTTTGTGCCCATTAGCTTTTTTGTTCAGGATGTTGCGAACTACCTTGTCCACCAAAAATTAGACCTCCCGACTGAAACCACTTTTCCATATAAAAAGTGCGGGGTCCTTTGAATCATCATTAAAATCATCTATCATATACTTAAATGAAAGCCTCATTTCTATGATGGTTCTAATAGAGCCTTTACAATCCTGCTACCATGAAGGATACTAGAAACGATGACAAGTGCTCCGAAAGATGGTATGCAGAATGATTCGCTTCTCTATTTAACCTTGAAATGACCTTTAACCTGACCTGACAAGGTCAAACGAACCTCGGATTCGGACTTAGCGACCCCAAAAGCATATAATAACCTGGTTGCCTCCACTATATAGGATTTTTCTCGGTTTGACCTTGAAATGACCTTTAACCTGACCTGACAAGGTCAAACGGACCTCGACTTCGAATTCGACATAAGGACTAGTCCGATGCACAGGTTTTTTTGTGGGCCTGTGTTATTTTAAAACGCGGAAAATGTCAAGGACGCCTCTGCCGCGAATAATGTAGTGAAAAAGTGCAGAGACAATCAAATTAATGCGAAGCTATAAATATATAGGTATTAACATGATACAGCTCAGTTCTGTTAAACTTTTCATGTCTTCAACTCATATCTTGTAGATCTTTAAGAAATGAAGTTTTTTTAAAAAACAAGTTTTTGAAACGATTTTCATCATTCGCTGTAAATTGTTACAGTAGTTCCGATAATAGAACTTTATTGACTTATTATTTTTTTTAATTCTATCTTAATAAATATTGTACGGGCAATACCTTTCATGTGCTAATTTTGTAATGTTTTTATTTACAACTAACATTGTAAATATAATCTCATTTTCAGCCGTTTTATGTAGGAAAAGTTAGACCTTTTGGACCAATTGTGGAGAGAAAATCCGCGAAATCTTTTCTAAGTGAAGAACCAATTGACTTAATCAAATCTGGCAGGTACCATAAAGTACCTTTAATAATGGGATACTGTTCGAGAGAAGGAATATTTGTGTATGCAATGTGTAGTAAAGGCACTTTGTTGAACGACGAAACAATTGTACCTTATTCTGTGAATCTGAGGATAGGGAGTGATCAGTATAATTCAACAGTCAATAGTATTAAAAAATTCTATTTCAATGACAGAAATCCATTAGAAAATAAAGATGATATATACAGGGTAGTTATGAAATACATATTCACTGTACAGGGTGTTGCAGTAACAAAATTTTATATGAACACAAATGCTTCGTTTATTTTACACATTCTTTTCAGGCCGCTGATCATATTTTTAGTGTTTTTTTTTTAACCACTGGAAAAAAATTGTTAAATTTTAAGTTTAATTTATATAAAAAGGTCATTTTCAATATTCCTAATTTGAAAAAAATAGTTTCCAATACTGCACCATTTTAATCATTTTATCTACAATCACCTTATAATCGGACTTTTATCCACACATATGAACCGTCTAAAGTGATACTTTATTCACTAGTGGAATAAAGTAACATATAATAGCAACCAATAGGTATAACAAAACCTACCACGATTCATTGAGTACTAGTACCTAAGTAATATCAAGTCGTGCGAATATTTTTTTTATTCAATTCCAATAATTCTGACTCCATAAATATTATTGTGATGTGATTATGGNTAGAGAGTATAATATTCGGTTGGATATAATTTTGCACATTTTTTATTTTGTTAAAGCCTTTATATTATTGTAAAATGGAAGACAATAGTGGTATACAAAATAAATGTATTAACTGTAATCGAAATAAAAAAATTGTTGGATTTTCCAACATTTTTTTTTATTATTTATAATATACAAGTGGTGTCATGAGTATAAAGCTGACAGAACGACTGTTCATGAAGAAGAAAAACCATGGCAACTATGTTTTGAGACGGTATAAGGAATAAATTCTCCTCATTGACGTTTTGCCCCAAGAGGAAGTTCTGAAAACACGATACAGAACAAATGAAGGGGAACGTTAACAAAAGAAGTGTGCTTGTTGCATGACAATGCACGTCCTCACACAACCAACGCCATAAAGTAGCAACTCTTGGTTTCATTCGGTTGGAGCATCATCAACCACCCCGCTCACAGACCTGATATGGCATCTTCTTATTTTCATCTTTTCGCTTCTGTGAAGGTGTTTATGGGTGGAAAATTATTTTCTATCGACAGTGCCTTGACACAATGGATTTTTTTGGCTTCAAAAAGTTCATCCTTCAAATCACAAAAAGTATTGAAGTTGAAGGCGACTACGTCAAAAAATAGCATTTGACGTTCCTTTTTGAATATGTAAACCGTTCATGAATATACTGCCGTTTTGATTTAAAAAATAAATGAGTACTATTACTTTGTTGACATGCCTCGTATGACAATTACCTACTATCATTTCATCCTCGTTAAGGTATCTTCAGTCTAATTTAATACAAGTGTAGGCGTTTATAACTGACATAATAATTATATTTTCAGGCGTTTTATGTAGGATTAGATCTTCTGGACCATTTGTAGAAAGAGAACCGTCACAATCTTCCTGAATATTTTTATAATTTGTACAGGTCACTTTTTAAATTATAGTAACATGGCTTGATGAATTTATTAACAATGTACCGTAAGGAAAATATATTAGGAAGAGAATATTATTGTTTTTTAAGTGATCAAATCTTTGTCTGAGTTATTTGTAGTCTTTCTCTAGCTAAAGTAGATATCGCAAATCAAAGTTGTTACAGTTTATGTTGATAGTGGTAATTTATGCTAGTTAAAATAAAAATGTTAGTATTGTATAAGGAATAGTCTTGTAAACTGTGTATCTTTCATTTATTCGTAACCAAAAACTCAAAACAATTAATCCATAATACAATTTTGACAAATATCTGCAAATAATAGTTTTCTTTAAGGTACAGTCTGTACGATATTTGTTGAGATAGAATTCCAAGAAGACCCCTGCGTCACTTTCTTGGAATTAACCGCATTCGACATCCGAGGTAGAAAGACATTGGCGACGTGGTGTACATAGTAGTAGCTTGCAGTGCATACTGTGTTTTCTAGTTATGAAGGCGTGTTTCTTTGTACGTGTATCGTCCTGTGCATTTTCAGTGTAGTTTCTTATTAAAATAAATTAGTGGAGGTGAAAAATTAAAGAAAGAAATTTAATTGCCAGTCGAAGAGTATCGTGTTTAATGTGTATAATTACACAGCCCCACAAAAAAAAATTCTGTACATCGGACTAGAACACTATATCCTTTTATATGTTTTCGAGATTCAAAAATGAAAATTCCGGTCTTCCACACCACCTAATGAGGTTCCGAATGAGGCGCATTAGCTTTTTTATAGTGGTTCTTCGCCAATAGCTCTATACTCCACTGATGTTCCACAAACAATTCCATCTCAACTACTTCGATTTCAACGTGATTATTGGCATTTGCTCTGGCATCGCGGACGCGATCTAATAGTACTGTACGCGTGGGTACAGAAAAAGGCGGTCACATTTTTCTTTCATTTTTGAATCTCGTTTTGAACACAGAAAAGGGATATATAGATATATAGTACTTTTTCACTCCAACACACCTCCACGCATGCATGTCTCCATAATCGGTCACTGAACACGCTCTCTTTTGATAAAAATAACCCGACTCCTGAAAACCCAGGTGCCGACCTTGTATGCGCCATAGCGCAAAATCCTGACGGTAGATTTTTTTGTGCCCATTAGCTTTTTTGTTCAGGATGTTGCGAACTACCTTGTCCACCAAAAATTAGACCTCCCGACTGAAACCACTTTTCCATATAAAAAGTGCGGGGTCCTTTGAATCATCATTAAAATCATCTATCATATACTTAAATGAAAGCCTCATTTCTATGATGGTTCTAATAGAGCCTTTACAATCCTGCTACCATGAAGGATACTAGAAACGATGACAAGTGCTCCGAAAGATGGTATGCAGAATGATTCGCTTCTCTATTTAACCTTGAAATGACCTTTAACCTGACCTGACAAGGTCAAACGAACCTCGGATTCGGACTTAGCGACCCCAAAAGCATATAATAACCTGGTTGCCTCCACTATATAGGATTTTTCTCGGTTTGACCTTGAAATGACCTTTAACCTGACCTGACAAGGTCAAACGGACCTCGACTTCGAATTCGACATAAGGACTAGTCCGATGCACAGGTTTTTTTGTGGGCCTGTGTTATTTTAAAACGCGGAAAATGTCAAGGACGCCTCTGCCGCGAATAATGTAGTGAAAAAGTGCAGAGACAATCAAATTAATGCGAAGCTATAAATATATAGGTATTAACATGATACAGCTCAGTTCTGTTAAACTTTTCATGTCTTCAACTCATATCTTGTAGATCTTTAAGAAATGAAGTTTTTTTAAAAAACAAGTTTTTGAAACGATTTTCATCATTCGCTGTAAATTGTTACAGTAGTTCCGATAATAGAACTTTATTGACTTATTATTTTTTTTTAATTCTATCTTAATAAATATTGTACAGCAATACCTTTCATGTGCTAATTTTGTAATGTTTTTATTTACAACTAACATTGTAAATATAATCTCATTTTCAGCCGTTTTATGTAGGAAAAGTTAGACCTTTTGGACCAATTGTGGAAAAAAAATCCGCGAAATCTTTTCTAAGTGAAGAACCAATTGACTTAATCAAATCTGGCAGGTACCATAAAGTACCTTTAATAATGGGATACTGTTCGAGAGAAGGAATATTTGTGTATGCAATGTGTACTAAAGGCACTTTGTTGAATGACGAAACAATTGTACCTTATTCTGTGAATCTGAGGATAGGGAGTGATCAGTATAATTCAACAGTCAATAGTATTAAAAAATTCTATTTCAATGACAGAAATCCATTAGAAAATAAAGATGATATATACAGGGTAGGTATGAAATACATATTCACTGTACAGGGTGTTGCAGTAACAAAATTTTATATGAACACAAATGCTTCGTTTATTTTACACATTCTTTTCAGGCCGCTGATCATATTTTTAGTGTTTTTTTTAACCACTGGAAAAAATTGTTAAATTTTAAGTTTAATTTATATAAAAAGGTCATTTTCAATATTCCTAATTTGAAAAAAATAGTTTCCAATACTGCACCATTTTAATCATTTTATCTACAATCACCTTATAATCGGACTTTTATCCACACATATGAACCGTCTAAAGTGATACTTTATTCACTAGTGGAATAAAGTAACATATAATAGCAACCAATAGGTATAACAAAACCTACCACGATTCATTGAGTACTAGTACCTAAGTAATATCAAGTCGTGCGAATATTTTTTTTATTCAATTCCAATAATTCTGACTCCATAAATATTATTGTGATGTGATTATGGATAAAACTGTATTGCATTCGTGTTTTAATTGCCTTTTATCCACTTAAGAATATTAAACGTTCGAACTACGTTCTCGTGTTTAAACATTCCTGCGGTGATAAAATGCTACTTAAATCATTTATACAATAAATAACCATTAATAAGATCTGAAATTTTTTTGAAGTGATATCGTCTTTCCACCGTGACACAAATGTGCGCAATTACTTAAGTAAGATATAATACTACAGTTTTAACACAGATAAAATAGCTATCGCTCCAGACAGTGCCTGGAATAGGTCAGCAGTTGTAAATTTCAAAAATGCCAGTAGAGTACACCACCATCAGAATTTTAGGTAGATTCAAATTCAGCGGCCGGCATTCCTATGTAATACATATGCGTATCCTAGCAACGCAAAAACTACAGTTTGGTAATGTTGTCACGCGTACGCACGGATTTACTTTGTACCCTTTTTTATCAATACCTATTTTTTGTGTTACTGTATTTACGTACTTAAATGTATGATGTAGGTATTGATTATAATGTTTTAAAGAATGAACGAATACATATTAGTCAACTTAAGATGATCTCACATTCTGCAGGGGCGTTACAGTTAGGTTATTTAATCATAATTTCGTTAATTAGCTACTATTTTCATTTTTTGGTATTGAAATACTGCATTAAGTAGTTAGTAACATATATATTTTTTAATATGTATTTGATGATGACATAATTTTTATAAATTTATTTAATATACAAGATGGGTTATTAGTACGTCGCGGAATCTAAGTACAGGGTTTGTATTTTGATACTCACTTACAGCTTTAATCATTAAAGATAGAAAAAAACTTTAAATATAAATGTAGCATTTTTCCTTTACTTTTTTCGATATTATCAAAATTTGCTGGCATAAAATATACGTTTAAAGTAAAAAATCGTTAAGAAAATTTAAATACATCCTTATTGAAATAACAAATAACTATTTTTATAACTAACTTTTACAACAACATAAGAATACCTAAAAATGAAAATAGTAGCTAATTAACGAAATTATGATTAAATAACCTAACTGTAACGCCCCTGCAGAATGTGAGATCATCTTAAGTTGACTAATATGTATTCGTTCATT